ATCTATCTATCTATCTATCTATTTGCAATTTAAAATGTAAAATGTATGTATTTAAAATGATGGCATGGTAAATCAAAAAAATCTGACGCTTCATTCAGAAAATTCATAGGTGAGGAAAGTATTTGATTTAATGTTTTAACACTGCTTGAAAACACATGAAAAGCGAACACAAAAATAGTCATGTTTGAATGAAACCAAACAAACAATCTGCTTCCCAAATACAGTAAAATATTAGCATCAGACATACATCTAAATGAATGTCAGCGCAGATGACGCATGAAAAGCCAAAGTAGTAAAACCGAAAAGGTCAGAGGAATTAATGCAGAGTGTTATTATGACTATGAGAACTCAGTGACCGTGTAGTACAGTAGTAAACATACACGAACCACATAAAACCCAGAACAGCACAACCCATATACTAAACCTGTCACAGCAGGCACAAACTGCAGAAAACGGCACGAAAACCTCATGTTGACTCGCAAAAAAACCAACGCCAAGATATTAATGTAATAGGATTAAAGCAATGCATTCCAGAGGAAATTCAATATAAAAGGAATCATTAACGTCCAGCGCTGCAGCACGGATCTGCTCATCAAACATGATCAGCAGGATAATAACAGGAGTATTATCAGCAGATGAATATTTACATCAATTTCACGAGCTGCTCGGATAGGTGATCCCAAACGCAAATCCAGAGTTGAATCCAGTACAGCATTGACGCATGAGAGCCCTGGGACAGCGTTTTGCGGGATAAATTTTTAATATTAATGCAGACGAGAAGGGCAAAAAAGCAATAAACTAAAACAACACTCGAATTAGGCATGAAACACAACAGGATATTGCAGTGAGATTATGTTGTTTCCTTTTAGATGCCTTCTCCCTCGGCCGTCCGACTACCACAAAACAGCCTGTGGCACTTTTTAATTGGACAGGGGGAACCAAAAAAAAAAGCCTCTCCAACTCCGCCGAGCGGTTTTTAAGAGTCTGCAGAGCTCAGTGCTTGCAGATGTAGCTGTGTTTTTACGTGCCGGGGCATAAAACCGCATCCAGGTATGAACGGTGACAAAGCAGAGAGTCAGAACCCCCGTCCTATGTTTGTGATAATGACTTTTTCCTGCCAAGGCGCTGCATGATACAAATGAAAAGCAGCACAGCTGGGAGAAAAGAAAAAGAGAGAAAGAGAGAGAGAGAGAGAAAAAGAGAAAGAGAGAGAGCGAAAAAGAGAAAGAGAGAGAGAGGAATGAGGGAGTGTTGTGTTTGGATGCTGGAGAATCGTGCCTCGTGTGCTCTCCGAGGAATCTGCAGTTGGGAAGATAATAAAGGGATTAGCTGGGTTTTTCTGAGGCATCTGCTTCTAAATCAAAAAGTCTCATCGGTTTCCTTTGCGCAAATAGCTTGAATACCAGAATGTCTTTGTATATTGCAGGAGGGCCGCAGAGGCTACATGTTTTAGACTAAGGTTGCTTCCGGCAGAGGTCCTCATCATGGGATGGCATTGGCTCGAAGGAAAACATGAGAACATGTCAGAGGCTGAGCAGGTTTACGGGTCAAATTTGTGCACTTATTCCACTTGTGAAATGTGAATAAATCAATGTATTATTTTTTTTATTATTTATAAAGTAATGAAAACTGCAATGAAAAAGTGCATTTTATCATTGTAAGTCACTTATAATAATAACTAAAGAGTAGAAATGTGAATTAGAAATCAATACTGAGAAAAAAACACTCACTCAGAATTCGATTAAATGATCATAGAGAGATTATTAGTGTGGGTGATTATAGTAAACTAAAACTAAACTAAAATGATTTTTGTTACTTGAAATAAAATAAATGTTCACTGAAAAAGTACATCAGAATATTTTTTTAAAGTTAAATGAAAATGAGAAAAAAGTTTAAACTACAATAAATTAAAATAAAAATTAATTTAAAGTACAATAATATGAGGTCACACATAATCATGTTGCTAAAACTTTAAAGGAAATCGCACTACATATCAAAAGTTTAGGGTCAGTTTTTACTTCTGCTGTTGTTTTTTAAAGAAAATTATTCTGATCATCAAGGCGGCATTCATTAAATGTAAAAAAAAAATTAAACATTTTAAATAACTGCTTTTTTATTTTATGAAGTTTCAAATGAAATACTCCAGTCATTATTGCTTTTATATTACATTAACAACAACAACAATAATAATAATATTAATAGTAATATTTAATATTAGAGTGATTTCTGAAGGATCAAGCGACTCTGATTTATCTTTAAAATCACTGCAATAAATAATTAAATTAAAATATCAATTACATTTGAACCGTTATTTTATAGTGCAATAGTATTTCACAGTTTTACAGTTTGTACTGTTTTTTAATTAAATAAATGCAGCCTTGGTGAGAAGGAAAATGTCATTTTAAAACATTTAAAAATCCTACTGAATCTAAACTTTTGACCGGTAGTGTATATAAAAAGTATTAAAAATAATAAATCTTTTTATTTCAGTTAGTTGAAAAGGAAATAGTTCTCATTTTAAATTAAAGTTAAATCTAAAAGACCTAAATCTAAATTACATTTAAACTTATCTAGACATATTTAAAAGAGTTCTAAGAATGAGAAAAGACAATCAAATGACTAAAACTTTAACTGAAAAATAATTTAAGTAATAAAAACTCTTAAAATTTAATCAACTTATTTTATTTCAGTTAGTTGCCAAAGCAAATGTTTCTTATTTTAACAGCAAAAACACAATCAAATTCCCAAAACTTTATCTAAAATGAAAAAGAAATATAAACAAATGACTAAAATATATAATTATTTGAATAATTCCAAAATAGTTGAAATGAATGAAATATGTTTTGCAATACTTACTAAGGATATGGACACTAAGGATACAATAAATATTAACGTGATTAAAAATAAAATATTTACACAATGATACTTCAAATGAAACTGCTCTGTAACATTTTTTGATGCTAGTATCTGACAGCATTGCCATTTCTGTTTTATATGTTTAAAATAACAAAAAACAATATATTAGAAAACTGAAAAAAAATTCTTAAATTTACAAAAAAAAATTAAACTAAGTAGTTGTAGACAATTCATTTGGGCAGATTTTGAACAGATTAAGTTGAATATTACTAAATTCTTTGATTAAAAATGTTTGTTTAAATTCAACCCATATAAATGGTTTGCAACACATTTTAGTGTAATAGTTCCCACTGCGTGATGCCAAATACAAATCCCTTAATAAAGTACACAATTACAAAATCTTTAACCTTAGACTTAACCTTAGTCCAGCAGACTGCTTGAAAACAGAGGCTGAATTTGGGCAGAGTTGACTAAGCAAGAGGCCCTCACTAAATCCAGAGACAATGTCCAGCCATTTTACAACAATACATGCGCTTGTTCCTATCCTAGCATCTGCTTAGCATCGACCCTGAATAAAACCCAGTGTTTGTTTACTCTGACAGCTCGTGACACACGGGCTCTTGCCACATACTCCGTGCAGAGCTTTTAGAGTGAGAACTTCTACCGCATTATTGTACAAGCAGCAAGTGAGAAGTATAGATTTAAATAGATATAAAAAAATAAAATTACAAATTTCCACTTTTATGTCGCAGAATGGGCGGCAATGCATAAAATGTAGTTGAGCAGATTTGAAGGAATTTACATGATCTAATTACTTCTGTCATTCCAGCTGCTCTGAGCTTATAGAGTAAACCGACATCCTCTGGAGAGTAAACAAAACTTGTCATTAACAACCTCAGCGGAACTACTTAATGCTGGCTAATATAAATGTTGCCCTTGTAACATACTCCGCATATTAGCGGACAGCTGTCTCCTATTGACACGGCTAAACAGATCATTTGGAGACTAAAAGGTATCCCGGGATTTGAAGGAATAGGCCGACTTCAAAACAAGCCCTTTAAGTATGAGTAAAATAAAATGCTTTTTGGACAAGTGTCTTGTGTATGAAATGGAATATATCTGACAAGAAATCCAACATTCTCCGATTGAGCAATCGAGGGGAATTTCGTTGGTCATCTCCTTTGCGGCTCCGTTCTTACAGACTACTACATTTTTCCAAGTGTTTAGTTTGGATAAAGAGCCAATTCGCTTAATACTTGTGGGACGGCTAAACGTTTAAACCTCCTATTTAAAGGGATCAAGTGCATGCATTGTTTGGTTATGTTAAACAGATGTGTAGGGGTTTTTAAAGATCTCAATCATTTCTTTTTTTAAAGAGAGAGAGAGAGAGAGAGATCTTAAGAAAATAAACAGAGTTTCACCCTACACAAATTGTGGACTAATTGTGTATTTGGACTCACGCATTGGTGGGGCTGGAGCCATTTTTCCACTTGAGCTGAGAATGTTAGAAAAGGCACTTTGACGTTGATTAGTGTGTTGACTTGCGCAATCTGAGAGCTTTACCTGGATGTCTTGAATTTCACCACAACACTATTTATACAGCTAGACTACAGGTCCAATTAAATACCCAAACCCGTCAGTGGAAAAGTTAGCTGCACTTTTGGTTGAAATCATAATTTCTCATGCCATGCGATATGGTTGTGAAGAGAAAAAAACACAGAGGAAAATAGGCATAGGTGGTCCCTTGAAAGCCATTTTTTTTTTTTTTAAATGATGCTCGGAGAGAATTTCCAAATCTGTTCCTCAAATTAAAGAGGCCTTAAATTATTATGAAATCTTCTGGGGCCTTCAGAAAGAAATTTGATTTACTATAGCCTAATGAAAGAATTACTTGTCCTCTGCTGATAATAAATACTTAAAAAAATCTGAACTTCTTAATTAAAAATAATTACACCGGCATTAGCTTTCACCAGCTTTCCACTTAAATTAAACTCACTGTGAATTCCAACGAAAACATTTCACTCCGAAAAGCTGCTTATGCCTTTTCAAGGCCATTTTAGCTGCCACTTATAATGAACTTCATCATAGGAAACTGTTGAAAATGCTGCACTTTTGACAGCCATTAAAAAACTGTGGAGACTCACCATGCATTTGTTGGGTTTCTCTCCCGAGTGAACCCTCATGTGGATGAGCAGCTTGTATCGGGCGTTGAATGGTTTGTAGCGTCGGACGCATCCGGCCCAAAAGCAGGTGAAGTCCTCGCCCTTGCGTTGATCGATGTGGACCTTCTCGATGTGCCTAACCAGCTCCTCCTGCTGCTCATATGCTGCGCTGCAGTCGATCCAACGACAAACCTGTTTATCGCTAAACACGTCCTCCCTGTCGCCCACCTGCTGCTCTACCAGGCCTGTTTGTTTGGGCTGTGCCAGCAGGCCTGAGGGTGGAGACTGCTGTTGGCTCTGAAGATGCAGTAGGGCTCCTGGGCCGGAGCCCATGTACTGGTGCAGGTGGTAGGGAGGGGGCATGGGCGGCCGTGGGGGGCCTGTCTGATGGTGGTGGTGATGGTGGTGATGTTGGGAATGCCCACCGCAGTGGCTTGCGCGGCTCGTCAGATGCTGATAGTGATGCTGAAAGAGCTCCTCCTCACTTGGAGAGAACTCATCCGCCGGTTCTTGTTTCAGCGTTGGGGTGCAGCCATCCAATAATGCAGCGGGCTGTATGAGAAGTCCGAGCCCGTCGCTGCTCCCCACACCAGTGGGTCCAGGCTGCATGGAGCCCACGTCCTCACAATGCTCAACTGAGGACACCGAGGAGGACGATGACGAAGAGGAGAGGGGCAGGAGACAGGACGAGGTGGAGGGTGACGGCAACTGAGGGCTGGGTGCGGAGAGAGACCTGTGGGAGAACGTGCCGGCGGAGGGCGATGACGAATTGGTGCGCAGGCCGTTAACGCAGGACATCTGGGAGGAGCAGATGTTGGCGACGGTATCGATTCCCTCTGAGGCGGACTGGGAGGCCACCGAGAGGCACCGTCTCTTCAGTCCGCTCGCGTTTGGCCTTGCTGAGTGACGTGAGCTCGGGGACAAAGCCAGCGGGGTGGAGCCATCTTCATTATTAAATGGATACACAGTCACCGCCATCGCCGACAACGACAGAACAGTTGCTAAGTTACCATCATTGCTACCCGGACGGTCCATATCCCTGCGAACCGCTCCCATCCCTCCTGAAAATTCGCCCAGGGACGATCCCAGCTTGTAGCCCTCCTGTTTGATGGGGTACGACGGCAAGGCATGACACCCATTGATGCCGGTGGACAGAGACGATGAGCTGAGATCCGTCTGAAAGCCAGCAGACCTACGGGAGAATAAAACACACCCAGAGGAATATGAGGAGAGTTTAGGCAGGAAGAATATGCACACTATTAGCAGCCCGGCTTGTTGAAAGATAAAGGCCAGGGTTTCTCAAAGAGCTGCCAGACCTACGGAAACAGACAAGCTCTGTGCTCTGGTGCTGGCAAAACCTGTGCTCTCAAACATCTCTGTTAACACTGACAGTGTCTGACCGATTGGAGATTCTTTTGCAAACCTTTTAAGAGTCGTATTAGGTCAGTATAATGTTCGGTTTTATGCTGATCAGAAGTTACTTTTTATGTGCCCTTCATTCTCAGGAAACAGCCATCGTATGGGTTTCCACTGCGGTGTACTTTAAACACCGGTTAGATCCACCACAAACGCTCCGGAGCAATTCCATGAATAAATGATGCAGGAAATTTGGCCTGAAGTATAGTTATGAATGGGTATTTAAAAATAAGAAAAGAGAGAGATGAATACAGGCAGGCTGTCATGTCCAGCGTATGACAGCCTTTGATGACACAATAGGGGTTAACCGAAGCCTACATGTGGGATAAATAGAAGTCACCTGGTTCTGCTGATATAATGGCGGGCCTCTAAACGCTCTGTGTTTACAATACTCCCCATTATAGTGGGAATCTTTGCCCTCCTTGAATGGGGGTCATATTTCCCAGTGCGTCGCTGTGATCTTCCACATAATAATTCCTGTCAGTTTGCTCATTATGGATTTGTGTGCAAAGCTCCGGAATGATGTGAGAAGGGCTCTCTGTCCTAGCAGCCTATGAACGATTTTGTCTGAGTCCCCTTTTCACTCGGTGCGGGAAACCGCTAATGCTAGTGCACCGGCTGAGCTGAAGCCTCAAGTTTGTCATGAGTCGCTCCATTCAGGCTCACCACTTCCTGTTTGGCTGAAGCAGTGACATTCAGTGACAATATTGGGAGAGTTGGACAGCGTGTTTGGAGTAAAAGCACTTTGGAAATCATCCCTTGCTGAAACGAGGGGTTTCAACAGTACTGCGGCTACACAGAAACTGACGGCAGTCTCTTTTCCTAGCCGTTTAAAACACAAATGGAGCCAAGAAGCGCCATCAGTACTACAGTGTTCGACTGGGTTATTTGACTTGTTCCACTTAGCATTAAACAATCTATATTATTTGCTGTGCAGATATGCATTTACAGTATATTCTTAATGCAGTTTGAATCAATATAAAATAAAAGATATAATACAGATAGTATACATCTTTATATTTTGAATAGTGATTAATGGGTGTGCTTTTTTTTCTGTTGATAATTTGCATTATCTGCTAGATGGTTCAAAAGACCAAAATCAAGAGCAAACATATATTTTTATTAGTAAATCAACTATACAGACTAACACAAGCTTACTGTAATTCCTTATTTGTTCCTTATTTATTTATTAAATAATTAAAAATATTCAACATATTCTATGCCAGACTATTTGATTTATAACAGCGAGTCCATATTGTGGTTTTTCTGTTTAATTTATTTGTTTTTGTTGTGCACAATGATAAAATAAATAAATAAATGTTCTTTTAATTAGGATCCTAATAACATACAATATATCAAACGTTTTTAATTGTAATAAAAAAATTTCAATTGGTTTTTGAAAAAAAGTCTTTAATGCTGACCAAGGTCACATTTTTATCAAGACACAGTAAAAGCCTAAACATTTTAAAACTAACATTACTATTATAAATAAATAAATAAATAAATAAATAAATAAATAAATAAATAAAGGACTGGACAGACCAGTCACCATACATGAACATTACTGAGCATGTCTGGGGTAAGATGGAGGAAGCATTGTAGATGAATCCAAAGAATCTTGATGAACTCTGGGAGTCCTGCAAGAACACTTTATTTGCCATTCCAGATGACTATTAATAAGTTATTTGAATCATTGCAGAGATGTATGGATGCAGTCCTCCAACCTCATAGGAGTCATACACAATATTAATGCTTTTTCCACTGCACTATGACTTTATATTCTATACTGTACATTGTTTCTGTTAAGTGACAAGAATTTTGTCTAAGGAAAGTTAGACCTTACTGTCCTAATTAAATAATTAATATCAAGGCATGATCATATTTTATTTTGGTAGAATAATTCTAATCTAGAAGCCTTTGCCTTTCATGTAAGCCACTTTTGATACCAAATGATCAACTAGAAGTCAAGTTATTATTTGTTGTTCTTAAAACTCGAATAGGCGACAAGACTTTTGTCAGGTAGTATAGAATAAATCAGATTTCTCATAGATTATTTGCTCACATAGCAGTCAAAACTGTAAAGAGTATGTTTCATAATGTTCAATATTCACTTAAATGATGCATTCAATATGTTCCAAGCTGTTAATTATAAATCCAAAAGTGCACTGAGGTCTCACCCTGTGTCTGGACTGGGGCTTTCCTGCAGGTGTAGGGTCTGTGTGGGCTGTTCACAGTGACTGCTGTGATGGTACGGAGCTCCAGACTGAACTGACAGGCTCTGTCCGCAGCGCAGTAATGGTCCTTCTTCTGCTGTCAGCTCACAAGTGCTCTCCTTCTCTGAACAGAACGAGATACAGCGTCCATTCACTGAAACAAGTGAAAAATACAGTAAACAAATGAACAATTTCAATGCTTAAAAGCTTTCACTATAATTTACCTTGTATGCTCCTTTCAACAAGAGCCAAAATAAGTCTTTGTTGTCATATAGTGTATATGTGAAATTTCAGCTCAAGATACCCCACAAATAACGTTTTATAAACAGCCTCTTTTAGGCTTTGATCCCAATTGTGCCACTTTGGTGACTGTCACTTTAAATTCAAATGAGGTTGTGCTCTTTTCAAAAGAGGGCGGAGCTACAAATAACTATGCGTCAGCATAGTGGCAAATTAAAGAACAAAACTAATATCCTATACTAATGAGGCAGAGATCGTCATTAGTGGGCAGGGTTTACCCCCCTCTGGTGACATGTACAAAGGGAGAATGTCAATTTCTGCAAAGTGTAATTAAAAAAAAAATAAATAAATAAATTTATACCATTAAAAACTGGAAATAAATCCACAGAAATCTGACATAATTGCAAATGCAAATTACATATATGGCATGAAAGTCCATATTTGGATTTTGCATATATATATATATATATATATATATATATATATATATATGAGCAATATTACACGAGTAGCACTGGTGGGAGGCATGGATTGGCAAGAGGCTGCTGGCCGACTACCTTACGGTGCATTTACACAGTGCTTTAACGTCTGACAGAAGGCGTGTCTAAAGTTGGGGTTGACACGATTGTCATAATAGCATCAGCCAATAAAATTAATCAGCAATCGGCTACTGTCTGAACTGGTGTTTTTGCATACAGAGATCTGATAGGCTGAAGATTCCGTTGGCGCTTGAAAAGTTAAGAAAGTCTTAACTTCTGCAGCGGCACCGACGGATCCAATTTGGCAAATTGGCAACGCCTGATGTCACCCATTCAAAGTGAATGGGAAGTGTAGACGCTGACGCCCCATGTGAATGGGGCGTTAGTGTCCCACCAGTGACAACATACAGCCACATCATAGATTTTATGAAATACTTGTTCCTGATTGGCCAATATTTTGATCTTAATATATTAAGTCCATTTATTATTGTTTGTTGCTATTAAGTGTGATAAATCAGTGTGAGTGTACAAGAGGAACCAATTGTAGCAAATGTCATCAAAACAAAGACAAATATGGTTTCATAGCGTTTGAAAATATTTCCAGAAAGAAAGCCAACACTCTTTTCGACTCCAGTGTGGGTGACCGCATCTTTCAAGTTTTTGTAACTCAATTTCAAAAATCTAATTTGCTCACAATGATGATATTAATAATGCATTACCCAGCGGACCCTGATCAAAACCAGCGACTGAAAATGCATAAAAGCCAAACCAAAAGACAAAGGGTGTTTCGGTATGATATTGTTTCCAAGTACACAAAATGAGAAGGTGACAAGTAATTGCTTTAAACCCGGGAAAAAATCAAGGGAAACAAAGAAATGAGTGTTGAGAGGCGTGAAGAAATGAGAGAAGGAGAAACAATGAAGCAGAAGGTCACAAGACACGCAGGTCCTGTAAAGCACATGCTGGATCTACTCAACTCTATAAACAGAAGAAACGCACTTTTCACATCCATTCGAAGTTTTCAAAGAATAATAATGGTTGTTTATTAAATCTTGGACCTTTTTTTACTTGGCTTAGAAATCCCACAGTTGGAATGTCAAACTATGTTTGTGTATAACATCACTGCATGCTGAGCTAAAGCCAGAGCTTTCTTGCTTCATCTGGAGAGGATTGAGAGGTTTGTCAATGATGCTAGGATCATTTCTTTCACACAAAAACGAACAACCTTTTAATTATGTCCTGCTATTCTTGCATCCTTTTGTATGCTACTACAGATGGTTAAAAACGACAACATTCACTCAAAATATCAAAACGGTCAGCTTTGCCTTTTCAAAATAGTTATAGATATAATAGTTGTAATCCACAAGTAATCTGAGAAAAACATGTAGGCTATTCCTCTTTAGAAAAACCATATTTAGTTTAGAACAATATGTTAATTTGTTATTATTTTGGTAGCCTATTTTAACTATAGATACATCACAAAACTTCACCATGTAAGTAAATTTGTTTTTATTGTGTTGTGTTCAAATATTATTATTTTGTAAAAAAAAATACATTTAAATACCCCACAGCACTCTAGTCCTATGATGACTTTGATTTGATTTTACACATAAGTGAGACACCTTCAGAGCCTGTAGTGTTGTTTCATGACTAGTCACACTCTCACCAGTAGCCCTAGAGATAATATCAATAATTCTGGGCCCTAAATAAAAGCAGGAATTTAAATATTGTAGGTTTTTTGAGGTTTAGTCTCCACAATAATTAACTTGCATTTCCACTATATGTTATAGAAAAGATCTCAGTCTACAATATTACATGGCCTAAAACACAAATTAGAATGGTATTCGTCAAACAACTAGACTATAGGGTTGAGGAAAAAAGTAAAATTGGAAATGAATTCAGCAAACCCAGGCTCATTGAAATGATATGTCCAGGGCTTCATTTTCGAAAACTGAAAAGTATGTACTCTGGACTATGTCTTCTTGCAGTTTTTGTTTTATTTACACAAATTCACTAGAGACCCATGTGAACATTTTTGACAATCTGAATCTAACATTCTGAAATATGTTAGATAACCGATAGTGTTTTCAAAAGCAAATTAAAACAGAAAACGCATCTGGGACATACCTCAACCCTCCCATTTTTCCCGGGATTCTCCCGTATTTTACTGTTCTATCTCGGTATCATCCCGTAAAGGTATTTTCCCGTTTTTCTACCGTATTTTCAGTCTTTCTCTAAACAGCCGAGCCTCACTATATGCAACACATTCCGCCAAACCACCAGGGGTCGCCCCTTGCTCTAAAATGTGAGTCTTCTGTGCTTTCGCTTTGTTTAGGAATGAAAACACTTATAAATAAATACTAAAAACGGCGCAATTCCATTTCCTTTTGATTACAGATGCCGTCGCCCATCCTATACAATCCTCAAAACAGTCATATAATGGTGCATGACTGTCAGCTGACGTGCTCCACAGTGATAAACAGATGCTGTTTCCCAAACAGATTCTGTACACGCGATTGGATGTGGAGAGAAATAAGTCTGGCTTTTGGGTGCGTGTTTAAACAGACATACACACATAATTAATAATAATATATAAGGATGTCGGTCTTGGTGGAGGTTTTTTTCAGAAACACAACTAATTTCGTCTTAAATGAGCTTAAAATTTATTGAAAGCAGTCGAATGCTTTCATTATAACGTTAGATGTGTGCATTTTTAAAGTGACACCTGTTATTTAATGTAATTTAAAAAATCTTAATAAATGAGAGATTCATGCGTTGCTCTTTAATCAGAATGTACAGTATAGGTTATACAGTGGAGAAACGGCTAATGAGATTTGATAGCTTGATTCTATGTGATTATAATAGCTATAAATTTTAATAAGCTGAACTGTTGGCTAATGTATTTGCTGCTAATCTATATATTTAATTTTACTTCGTTAATAATAATTTTAAAACGTATTACTGACTATTTAACTGTTTATTTACAATGAAACAGCTCCAAATGAACATAGTAATTTGGGGATGTTTTTAGGGGGGGCATATCCCTTATTTTCACATCCCAATGTTGACAGGTATGATCTGGGATGCCTGCTTCCACCACAACGCCACACTGCTTTTTTTTAGGTTTTATTTTACCTGATTTCTGGAACTGTCCTTCACCGGACTTGAACCCCAGTTTTTTTCTGCTATACGCATCCCAAATCTGACACCGTTCATGGTGAGCTACCGAGCAAATCAGTCAAAAAAATAAAAATAAAAATCTGTACATACAGAGGTAAGTATCACTCTGTAACATTCGTCAGACAAAATAAGCCCCATTTACACTGGCAGTTAAATGTCAACCAACTGCGACTTTTTGCTCATATGTGACAAAGATCGGATCTGTTTTATGACGGCGCGAACACAAAAAAAACGCATGCATTTCGAAATTCAGAGATGAGTTTCAGGCCTCTTTCATATGTGGAAATAAATCAGATATAAATCGGATATATGACAATGTGACTTATTTAAATAGGCAGATTGGATTTATTGAGACATTCCGTTTTGTACATTATTGTACTTGCGACATTGTGGTACTTCTCACCGGTTTAATGTCGTAGAAGGAAGAGCGTGTGTGGAAGCAGATGAGGTAAATAACAACAAGAGAAAAAAAAACATGGAGGAGGAAAGTGGTCAGTCGCCACAACTTGCTCCCACCAGACCTGAGATCTCTCTCGTACACACAAATTCCTCTGAATGGTGGAAGACACCATATATAAACCATAGGCACAAGCTGTGATGCAGCCCTTTTCCTCCTTCTCCGCCTCCACCTCAAAATCATTTTAAAGTTGAGCGAACTTAGCATATTTCGCAGAGCTAAAAGCAAGACAATTTCCTTTATCATGGCTAGTCTTGAGTAGATGCTAAAACCCGCCTTTACGCATGCGTGACATTGTAAATTGTATAGCAAGTTTAAACACATGAATCAGATATGGATCATAACTAAAAGAGCATGTAAATGGACAGGCAAAAAAAAAATCTGATATAGGCAACAAATCGCAGGGCATCAAGACCTGACTGTGTAAACGGGGCCATACAGCCATATGGTACATATTTCTCGGTTCTCAAAAATGTATCCCTGGGCACATTCTCCCAAAGTGCCTGTGTTATATCTAGCTTAGCTTTAGCCTGCATAGTGTCCTATTAATTGCGCTTATGTAAAAAAATAAATAATAATAATAATAATCTAAATATCTTAGATTTAACCAGTATCCAGAATATCCTAAAAATCAGAAAACATGTAAGCTCCTTTTTGAATAGAAAGAATATCTTTTTGGCTTGATTCCTGTAAGTGACACTGATAATCGGTTTCACAAGAAGCCTTCAAATGCCACAAAGCCAAGCAGAGGGAAACTATACCGCTGATGTGAGGTGCAGAGAGAATATAGCCAGAAGC